GTGCCTAGGCCACAGGGATTGTCCTGGCTAGTTTATTGTCAACTTGAATGATACCACTTAGAGTTACCTGAGAAAAGGGAACTACAATTGAGAAAATGCCTCTGTAAGACTGTCACATAGGCAAGCCTGCGGGTGCATTTTCTTAATTATTGATTGATGTGGCAGTGCCACCCCTGAACAAGTAGTCAGGGATGGTATAGGAAAGAAGGCTGAGCAATCCATGAGGAGTGAGCCAGTAAACAGAAATCCACCATGGCTTTGTCTTTAGTTCCTGCCTCCAGTCCCAGCTCTGCTTGAGTTCCTGTCCTGACTTCTCTAGTGATGAGCCCTTACCTGGAAGTGTAAGATGAATTAAACCCTTTTCTCTCAATTTGCTCTTGCATAGTGTTGTATCATAGCAATTGAAGCCAAAGACAGGAATGATCCAAAGATGTAGGGATGGGAGCCGAGGATGTAGGGATGGGAGCCTAGGCTGTAGGGATGGGGGGCGCTAGGATGTAGGGATGGAGCCTAGGATGTTGGGATGGAGCCTAGGATGTAGGGATGGGGGCCTAGGTATAGGGACAGAACAGAGAGTACAGGGATGGAACAGAGGTTGCAGGGATGGTGCCAAGAAAAACAGAAACTGCTGGGCAGACACAAAGGCAGTAGGCTGTAGGGATGGAGCTTAGGCTGTAGGGATGGAGCCTAGGCTGTAGGGATGGGGGCTCCTAGGATGTAGGGATAGAGCCTGGGATATTGGGATGGAGCCTAGGATGTAGGGATGGGGAACCTAGCATATAGGGATGGGGGCCTAGGATGTAGGGATGGGGGCCTAGGTATAGGGACAGAACAGAGAGTACAGGGATGGAACAGAGGTTGCAGGGATGGTGCCAAGAAAAACAGAAACTGCTGGGCAGACACAAAGGCAGGTTGACTTGTAGCTCATGTCTACACCCCATCTACTTTTCATGCAGGACCTTCATTCAAAGGAAGTGCTACTTTCAGCATCGCACATTCCAGCCACCACCCAGGATCCTGGGACTCTCTGCTGTCCCAGCCACACCCGCATTCACTTGGGCCACTATTTGTTATTTTTGCTGGTCTAAGAGACGTATGAATCTAGCTCATCATGGCTTTAATGTGCATTTCCTAATGGCTAAAAGTGTCAAACTTTTCATTTTGTTTGTTTGTGATCTACATACCTTCTCGAGTGTTCACTTTTTAACTGGGAGGTTTTGTTGCTCTCTGTCTTCTTCATTTTCAGAGTTCAGTTCCTTATAGGTAGTAGGTGGGTTAGTTGCTTTTCTGTTGCCTGTGATCTGATTTACTGCAGAATTTAGATGAAAGTTGGCTTTATGTTATGGGTGTCCAGTAGCTTCAGCACCATTTGTGGAAAAGTTTGTCCTCACTCCCCTGGACTGATTAGTACCTTTGTCAAAAATTAGGTGGGCATTTTCTTGAGTCTGTTCCTGAGTCCTTTTGTTCTGTCCCATTGATGGATATGTCTACACAACACCCCCGCCCCACACACAGACACTAATATCAGTATGGGTTACTATAGCTGTAATAGGTCCTGAAATTGGGTAAACTGAGTCATCCTATTTTCTCCTTTAAATATTTTAGCTATTCTAGTTCTTTTGCATTTCCATCTGCATTTAAAAATATCCTATCTGTATGTATGTCTTATTAAAATTTTGATAAGAGTCATATTAAAACTGAATTCCACTTTAAGAATTGCTGTGGACCTCACATTGAGTGTTTTGATCCATATACGTGGTCTACCCATTAAGATCAGTGATTTCTTTCATTGTTGTTTTTCAGTTTTTAGCACAGGAGTTCTAGAAATGCTTGATTGGTCTAAAGCCTTTGCATTTACTTTTCTTTCTAGTAGAAGTATCATTATGTTTTTATTTTGTGTCCAAGTTTTCATTGCAAGTTTATAGAAATAAAACTGACTCTGTGTTTTCTTCTTATGGCCTAAGGCTGTGCTGAGTTCATGAACCCAGTCTGAGAAGCTGTTGGTAGGTTCTGGCTATTTCTGCAGAGACAATCATTATCTGTGCATTCCTTTCTGATCCGTATGGCTTTTGTTGCCTTTTATATCTAATTGTGCTACCAGAACTTCGAGTTGAGTAACAGTGATGTTTGCAACATCACAGAGAAAATGTCCTTCAACCTTTTTCAATGTTGTCTACAGGTGCTTATCAGTTTTTGCCCCCGCCCCACACACAGACACTAATATCAGTATAGGTTACTGTAGCTGTAATAGGTCCTGAAATTGGGTAAACTGAATCATCCTATTTTCTCCTTTAAATA